GGACGAAGAAGATGAAAAGGGATGAGAAGAAGAAGAAGAAGAAGAAAAGAAGGGGAAGGCATAATAAGGTGAAAAGAGGAATATGGGTATTTTGGGTGTTTAATGATATTATGATAATGATTAGGCATCCCACCAATTTTGTGGGATATGGTAATAACATCTTAAAGGATGTTGATTCGGGCCTTACTCAATTTTCAGGGCCAAAGATTGTCCAACCAAACAACTTAATATTCTTGATATGATAGCAAATGGTGTGATATCACTCCCAATCACCCCAACCAAACTGACCCTAAGAGTTTTAAAATTTTAGTGGATGTGATTGAAAATTTTTGAAATTTTAAAAAAAATCCACATGTATTCAATTGATAAGTCTCCAAAAAGTTTTGGTATATTTAATGGAAGTTTTCTAAAAGTTTCAATAAGTCACCATGTATTCAAAATATGAAGACTTTACAAAACTTTTTAAATTAGAAGACTTTTAGAGATTTTTTAATAAAATTATAAAGACGAAGTTCTAATAGAAATCTCATCAAATTTGTGAGATTTTGCTAGACTTACAATGGCTCTCTTCAAATCATCTTCTCTCTATAATGTACATAACTTTACATCTCATATCAATTTTCATACTCTATTATTTTCCTCATTTATTTAGATGGCTTGTATAATGTGTTTTTTCATCACAAATGTGTAATGTATTTGTTGACCTATGAAATGTGAGTCAACAAGTGGGGAATTTTCCTTAAGTAAGAACGGGATGTATATACTGAAATGAGGTCGGATGATTGTTCTTATATATTAGTTCAGCTAGGTGTTGCACGAACAGAGTTATTTTCAGAAAGAGAATATTTTTGTGTCTCCTATTACAATAAATGAGGGTATTTATGGTGCAACACCCACGGACACTGTTTACGAGGTCAGTACATCAACATTAAATACAGTCTGATGGCGACGTGAGGCTTTGCAAGGAGGGACTCACTCCCAATGATCATAATTCGACAGTACGATGGACATGCGTTTTGTCAGCGTTTAATGCATTATCAGAGGTCGGTTTTCGAAGAATGTAGGTCAACGCTCGTGGCTGGAAATTGAATACTTTACATGGTCCCACTGAATGCCGAGTTGATCAGCTTTATATGAAAATCCCGAGGTGATCAGCTTATCCATCGTTCAACCTTTGAGGTTGGATGAAGGACGCTTTTTTACCACGTGTCAGATGATATTGAGATCGTCAGTTCGGATGTCAACATACAGGCCCCTGAGCTCGAATTGTTAACCATTCGGTTGGATCATTCGAGGTCGTATCTCAATAAGTCAGTCGAACTGATATATGAGTTGAATACTTCGCACAAAATTTGAATTGTAATTACGTTGGTTAAAAGAACATCTTTATGGAATGAAAGACTTGATCGGTTACAACCTTTGGGATTTGTGCGCATCGATTCTCAAAGGCGATAGAGTTTGTGTGTGTGTGTGTGTGTGTCTGTGTCTGTGTCTGTGTGTGAAACCCCTATCTGTCCTATTTTTTACTTTTTGAAATTCGAAAATATTGTCTTCCCCGGAGCATCTTATCCGCCATTTTTGCGATTTCATGAAGCTTAGAATTTGTAATGATCTTATGTGATTTTTAATATTTGGAATGTAGATACCTTGTTTTTGCGATTTTTTTTAGAATAAACTGTATAAATTGGTGAATGGAGTTACTTTTGGAGTTGCAGAAATAGAGAAAAATAAGAGATAAGGTAGGAAGAAGATAGATAAAGTAGGAGAGAGAGTGAATTTTGTTGTAACAAACTCTAATTCTTCCCACATGTTTTTCACTCTAATTACCATCATGCACTAAGTCCCAATTGCCACGAAGGCACAACTACAAATAACTGGGTTGTTGTTGGGTTCTATAAGTAACATCATCGATATGCACATCCGAATCTAACGAATTAAACCCTAACGTAGCGAAATTTTTTGTTAGGATTAGGACTTACGGTTTAAAAATTTGTCGACTCATAGTTTGTCAGCCGGACTAACTTTGGGATTGTCAAATTGGGCCTCGTGATCGCCAAGTCTCGTGTGGTCCGAATATTGTCCGCATGCGGGTTCCTGGGGATCGCACGAGTCTCTGCGCGTCAGGTGTTGTCCGCGTACGAGATGCGCGTTGGGCGCGTCTGACGTGCGTGCGTGTCGGGCACTGGCGAGATTCTCGCGGGTCTGTGTGTCGTTGTGCCGGTCGTCATTGGGGATCTTGCAGTCTGCTAGGGTGCCACCGGGTGGTGCGCGATCGAGCAGGCGTCGCCAGCCACTGGTCATGCCGATCGCTGGTTGAGAATTGGTATATCGTCTGGAACCTCCGCGGGTGGCCGAGTGCTGCTCGTGGTTGTTCTCGGCAATAAATAAATTTGTCGCGAACTCGAAAAACTATATTACGATCTTTTGATGTATTACCTTTACACCTACTTCGAATAGTCTTGGTGGTGCGACTAAATGAAACTCCCGAAACCTCATAATATATATGCCACTCGATTTTTCTCTCTTTGGAAGACGAAAAAAAATCGAACGAATTATTACGTGTAGGAAGTGTTGAGACTTGGTGTATTTATGTGCTATAACATGGACTCTAATGAGGTGCTAAATATGGGTTTTTCCAAATAGGAATAGAAGACCTTATGTCTTTCAACTTGTTAACCTTCTAGAAGTCCTTATGTCTTTCAAATTATTAACATTCTAAGACCTTATGTCTTCAAACTTGTTAACCTTCTAGAAGACCTTATGTACTTCAACTTAGTTAACATTCAAGAAGACCTTATGTTTACACCTATATTTGAATAAATATTATTGCACTCCCCATGTAGTTCTGAAATACTAATTATTCGTTCCAATTAAATTAATTGATCGAATTACTTACCTATATTTAAGATATAATGTCCATTGATTAATCTAGTTATTGACAATATAACTAATCTATTTCTTGGTGGTGCAATTAGTACACTCAGTTCTTAATTATTATGTTCGAAATTAATCCGCCTGTAGGGCTTAACATAATAAACCTTTCTGAGCTCATTTCGGGGACGTCATCAACCCGACGAACCAGGACATGGTGACCGTAAACAATTTTAACGGCACATCATGTAAACAACATTACTTACCAAAATATCGAGTATGACAACCTAACTAAAATAGGTATCACCCATGGTAAATCAAACAAGTAAGTGTTGAGTACATATGTCTGTTTATTGTCTTACGAGTTAAGAGAACGCATCAGTTACCGAGGTCTAGATTATTTACTTGGTCAGTATAAAATAATCTTCTCCTCCATAGGTCTATTCAATACACCCAATGTGTACTAGCCTAATTCATCAGTCAAATATCAACTGATTCAAAATTACACTACAACATTTCATAATAGATAGTTCAATTCCGTCTAGGTGTTGAATCATTTATTTATATTTTACAAGTAACTGATAATATGATCATTCTGTTCGACACATCGATCCATATTATATACAATGTAAAATAAGGACCTTATGCTCGCATAAATAAATAACAAACACAAATACTTGACTAAAATACAATTCTAATTTAAAATATTATTGTCGGAAACTGAAAACTGATCTTTTAAAGTATACTCTAACAATCTCCCACTTATACTCTATAAAGCTTTCGGCTGTTATTAAGTATATCTTCTTTCAAATATATATTATTTTTCAGTGTGACCTCTCTTTTCTGTTATTTCTCTATATCATTCAGGACTCAAGTATGTTATATTGACAAACTGAAATACTAAACACCGCACCCAAATTACTATTACCGCACCCAAAAAGTACAAAAATACCAT